AGTTTTCCTTAGCTTATTATAATAGAATCAGATCGTGTACAGAAAAATAAAAAGAAAAAAGCGAGAATGGAATGTTGTTAGCATTTCGAAAGTAAAAAAAGCAACAACAACAACTATGATCACATATAGATACTTTTCTTCAAAAAAACAAATAATTAATTAATATGGACGTTAAAACAAAAAGCAATAAAGAAAAATTCACTGTTGAGAAATATATATGGAACAAGCAAATATGATGCGTTACAACAAAGAGATTATCAAGTTTTGGTTTTATTCTTTCTTTTATAATTATAAATATTGATCAACTCATACGTGCATAATCCGTATTATTTTCATTGGCTTTGAGAATACCTAAAATATAATATGTTAAATTCATCTTTTGCTATATCAATTTGTATATATATTTACCATATTTCATACGAATTTGATCAGCTACTCGATTACGTTCAGTTGATCTTAAAAGTAAAAATAAAGGCATAAGATTATTTCAATATATCGATATATATATATGAAATCTTACCGAACTTCAGCTGCAGCTCGTCGTTCTTCCATTCGTTCTCCCATTCGGTGTTCATCTCTTTCTTGTCTACGTTCTTCTCTGTAAATAAATTTATAATAAACATTAATTAATTATTATGATCATCTCAGAATTTACTTTCGAATTCGACAACGTTTACATTTTCTACAAAAACACCATATAGTAATCAGTATAGCAATTAAAAGAACACCAGCAATAACAGAAACAATTATAATCCATACGCGAAAATTACCTAAAATATTTTATTTTTCATTAGATTTGTTTTAAAATTTTAAATACAAAAAAAAAAGAAAAAAAAGTTCTATATTTAACCTACGATAATATTCTATTATGCTCCATTCATATTCATGTATACTTTCAAACATCGTGTCATATACAAAAATGCATACTGTCATTGATTTAAATATCGGATAAATCAGCGAGAAAAAAAATGATCGTTTTCAACTTACCAACACATGTTTGCCATTGCATATCAACTGTATTACAATCAGTTTCTATAATATTACCACGATTGTATGGAAAACAAGTTTGAGTCGTCTTACAATACGCACAGTCACCGGCATTCAAACATGTTTGGCAAGTTGGCTTTGTTACATTTCTACATTGATCAGCAGCACCATAAACAGTACTAAGTAAGGCAATTGTGCAGATAACAACAATTAGAATATAATTTTTCTCCATCTAAAATATTTAAAATCTATGAGATTAAATATGAAAACTAAGTTTTGTTTTATTTAATATTATGTTAAAATTAGATTAATCATCCGGAAAATCAACATGAGTAAGTAATGGAGAAATCTGTCCAGCAAGTTCTTTTGTTGCTGTACATAAAATACAACGATGAAGAAGATTTAATGGGCCACCTTTATAATAAAATTAATTATTATATATAAAAAAGAAAAAGAAAAAAAATTAATTATACCTGATGGATCACAAGTATATGCACCAGCTTCGCGTGCAATCAGATCACCAGCAGCTGTAAGAAAATAAATCTTATAAGAAACTTTTATTTATTCTTCTTACCATAATCCCAAATATGTATCCCATATTCAAAATACGCATCGCAACTTCCTTCAGCCACCATACATAGATTCATAGCTGCACTACCAACAGCTCGAATACTAAATTATTTCAAGTTTATATTATTTAAATACCCAATTTAAAAAAAAGGGTAATTTACCTATGAACCTTTTCAATAATAACACGTAAATTTTGACATTTAGCTGTTATTATATCTGGTTCACGACTTGAACCATATTCACCTGCAACTTGTGATAATGCCAAATCTAGAACGAAGAAATATTAATTATATCATAAAACTTCCTTATTTTTATTGAATTGAATTACCTGTTTGTCCTGAACATTTAATTGGCCGGCCATTTTTAAATGCTCCTTTACCACGTACAGCGGAATAAAGACGATCCAATACTGGATTATAAATAACACCAATTACTACTTCTTTGTTTATTGCCAATGCAATTGAAATAGCCACAAATGGAAATCTATTATATTTATTAGAAAAAATATAAAAATACATTATTAGTCGAAATATAATCTACCCATGTACAAAATTAGTTGTTCCATCGATAGGATCAATAATCCATGTTGGATCATTTCCAAAATCTGCTTTAACTCCAGCAGCAGTAGATTCTTCTCCTATAAATCTAAATAATGTTATTTGTTTGTTTATTTGTTTTTCTTATAATTTATTATATTATTTTTATTTACTTGTGTGTTGGAAATTTTTCTTGTAAATTTTTAATTAAGATTTCTTCTACACGTTGATCATATTCTGTTACAAGATCGGCTGCACCTGATTTTGTTTCCACGCGTTTTGTTATCGAAAAACCTTCATTTACGACCTACAAAAATATACAAAAACACCTATTTTTCCTTTTTGTGTTGTGCATGACAAAATCAATAGACCATAATTTTCATAAACATGTAATCATACTGACTCATATATAAGAACGAACGAATAAAGAAAAGTCAGGCTTTTTTATATTCGGGTATCAAGGTAGATATATATGTATACACTTACTTTGCCTGCTAAAGATACAAGATCGAGAACAGCTTTGTAATAAATATCAATTTCTTGTTCTGTCATCGTTTCTGTTTTCTTCAATAAATAAATAATGAAGATCTAAAAGAACAGTTTATCTTTTTTCAACAAAGTCTCATAATTTATTGATTTAAGAAGGATATTTACAAGGTAAATATTTAATAAAAATATTTAACTGAGAAAATATAACTTATTAACGTATACAGTTTAGGAGATGTTTTTTTATTAAAACAGAATTCACTGCGAAGCCATAAATCATTATAATATCACCATCAAAAGTATCTGTGATATCTATGACGTATGTTAATTACGTCGATGAATAAATAAAGAAGAGAAAATCGTATAGGTATAAGTGTCTATCAAATATACAGGTAAAAACAAACTGCATTGAAAGAATGACTAAGATTGTTTTTAATAAATATCACTTCTACTTTCTAATCTTAATTCGTTCTAAATTATAATACGCAAGTAAGTTATTATTCTCATATTGTATCTTAATGAAGGTCAAGATGCGATTTTCTTATTCATTTTTATAGTCATACGACGATTGTAAATTGAATAAGATCCATATATTAACTTTCTTTTTCTTAATATGCGATTACCTATAATTAGTTAAACATATAAAATGTATACTGTTATAATCATCTAGGGAAAGAAAATAAAGATTAATACGAAATTTATTTTTTACATTTAAATTAATTTTGCATATGTATCGCTTGACTGACTACATTCGGTCATATACAGATAAGTAAAAAAAGGACATTTCGAAAGTGTATTGTCATTGATGTAAAAGAAATTCAATGACAAAAGATATCGTATATACCGAATACCTACTTGTTTTTGAGGAAATCTTTTATTTCTTTTCTCTTTCTCTTCTACTTGATTAATGAATCATCGATGCTACTAGCAAACTTATTTTTTCTCCGACTGATCTTCTCAAAAATTGGTAGTTAAGATGGCGCTAATAGGCGGATTCAATCCGATTTATAATACGTGAATGAAAGAATATTAGATTTACAATTGAATCAATCATGAAGGTCCTTTACTGATTATTTCTTTAGTTTATTTCAAAAATACTTATACATTATAATACTCTTTATTCCGAAGATATGTTTATGCTTGATCAAACCAATTATTGCAATTGTTCCCGAGAGATAATATGGTGAGTTATGACTATTTACTACCTACATTTATTTCCAATGAAAAATGATTCATAAAAATCAACACTGATGTGTGTTTTTTTAAGCGAACGAAAGAAAAACAAACAACGTTTCGTTGTCAGTCTGTCTTACTCATAATCAACTGTTCCGGAAAAGAAAAACAACGACTATTAGAAGAAAAAAAGCGAACAAATGTACACATTTTGTATTTTTTTTAGTTATATTGATAATAAAGTTGCAGTTCCTTTAGAATACTTATAAATCATTTAAAATAAGCAAAAGAGAAGTCGTTAACTGTAAATGACAAACTCACACATGAAAACTATGATATTCAATATTTAGTATAAATAAAAAGAGAATCAACAGAAGTGAAGAAAAAAAAATAAGATTTCAATTCTGTCTATCTAATACAGAGTTATTTATTTTAAAATATCAATAATATAATTATTTAGAAAACAATATTGACTGTTATGCATTTTATAAGTTCAGATTTTCTGGCATAAAAATTACAAACAACAAATAAAGTTTCACTCATATGTTCAATTTACACACACCTATCGAAGAATACGCTTTGCTACTATTCCATACGATTGGCAGTTAATTCAGCACTTGACAGTTTTTTTCTGATTGATATTCTTTTGTTGTTGTTGTTGTTGTTGTTGCTCCTCTTCTTCTTCAACTTCAATAACATATATAGGTACAAGAGTATCGATCAACGAACGAAAACGTAGATCATTGCAAGCATTTGCTTGTATAATACGATTTTCAAGTTTGTATAAATCATATAGTAATCTATAATCCATAGGTGTGGTTCGTAAATTAAGACAGTCCTTAAGTTTCTGAAAACTAGCCAAACAATCAATTTTACAGGTATATGGATTGCCTTGTGCATTACTTTGTAAAAGATCTCTTAGTTCATCTAATTGGAGTGTTCTTGATGTAGATGCTGAAATTTTAGATCTAGATGTTCGAGCACTTTTTAATCGTCGATGACTTATTCTTTCTTCTGGAGAAATGGATAATTCAAATGGACTTGTTGACTCGGTAATGAATACATCCGTATGAGATCGACGAGTACCAACGCTTGTAGTAGGACGTTGTTGAAATTGAGATGCTTGATTATTAGTAGAAGATCGACGAACTGTTCGAGCACTAGCCGATTGAGCACGGTTCGTAAGTGAGGTACTCATTACTTTGTTGGCAATAAATAGAAATGAATGTATGTATATACGTATTGATTATTTTCGAGCGAGAAAGATTTGTAAGTAATGTTTAAAAGAATTATTTTGAAAATTTATAGTAAGCCACAAAAACAGAACGAAAAAAAAAGTAAAATAAAGAGAAAAATAAATGAAGTACTATTCTATGTAAATAGTATATTTTTCAATGTTGAAACGTAATTTAAAAAAAGTGTGATCAAACATGATCAAACTTTAGCTAGAGAGCGCAATATTCATGCGTTTCTCCTTGATTTTAAATTTACAGGGCGTTTAAAATTTGCTTTTTTCCCGCCCAGTCAATAAAAAACGAGTGATTACCTTGCTCTTCTATGTTATTCTTATAATTCGAAGTGGCTGAGATGAAAGCCTGACACAATTTGCATCCTATTGATTTTATATAACTGACATGAACGGACTTTAGATAAAAATAGAATAAACAATTGCTTCACAGGTACTTATTCTTATTAAGCAAATAATAATATAGACTTTCATCGAGAAAATACTTTTTTTTTGTCTTTAGAGAACAAAAACGGATCTTATATAATAAGAAAATACAGACAAAAAAAACTTCATTAAAAAACAATGCTAATAAATTTTTATTAAATGTTCATTTGTTACTGGTTGATGTGATGTTGGACATCGATGATATTGTTTAATATAATCGCTAATACATGTATGACAATAAACATAACTGGAACCGAGTATTATTGTTGGTATATGACATGGTTGTCGACAAAGAGGACATTGATGTTTATTAGTCGTCGTAGGTCTCATCTGAGTAGTGATTGATAATGGTAATTTATTGAGATTATCGATCGAATTTTGTTTTGAGCTGTAAGTATGATTCCACCAATCAATCATTTGAATGAGAAATAAACCGTATGAAATAATTTGACTAATTAGAGATAAATATTGACTAGTAAATGATGTTGATGATGAAACATTCGGTGATGGATCTTTGGCATAAGTTAATTTAACATTAGCTAGTTGAAGAGCTGGACTATAATATTTAATAAGACCAAATCCATAACCTATTCGATAGAGCCAGCATATACCTTCAATGAATATCTGTTATGCAAAAAAAATATTACTTCAATCATTCTAAAATTAGTTTTTGATTAAAAACTTACTTGAATTTTAGGTAAAATTTGAAGAAATAAATAGTATTTTGCATGATGGTTAGTATTATTAACACGCATTTGTTCATGTAGTGCATTGAGTTTTAGCTTGACATAAGGTAGAAAAACTGATAAAATCAAAGATCTCAATCGATGATTTGCTGTTCGTTTTAATCCATAAAAATGTTCACCAATAAGAGCAGAATGAGAATTAAGATAGAACCATTGAAGAATACCTTCAATGAGTAGTATTAGTTCATCTTTATATTGATACAATATTTTCAATAAATTTGATAATGGATGAATTGTTTGTAAAAATTTAAGTATATGTTGAAAACAAGGGCGAATTAAATTAGTAACACGTTCCTGTGCAAGTAATTCAGATGCACTTGGTAAGATTGGTAAAAGTATAGTTGAAGATGATTCAAAATCAAGTATTGAATGAGTATTTGATGATGACATATTTATAAAATAGATAAAAACAATAATCAAATAATACTGAGAATTCTTCAACTAAAACATTTCTATTTATTTTTTTTTCTATTCTATGCAATGTCACCAAATCCGATTCGTTTACTTTATATTATTCTTTCCATAGTAAAATATGTAGATGGTGTTAACGAACAGTTTTGCTCAAAATACACAATATATTATATCTTTATTAAATTTTCTCTATATGTATACATCTTATTGTAGTTCAGTCACATTTATTTACTTCATAATCATATAAACTATTTAATAGAAATAATACAAAATATGTTATCAGAAAAAACGAAGATTAACAATCATATAAAGAACTCATTCGACAATATTTCAAGAATAGTCCAAATCAGAAGTTTCTATAATTCTCGTAATTGATATAGATACCAAAAGGTCATTATGAGCAGCTTGTATTGGTTTTGTTTGAAAAGAAAATTGATATAAATATAGCACTATACACTTGATAATATGTACCAAATTTAATTCGACGCTTCATTTTAGTTGTGACAGACTCATTCGAATTTTTTAGCACTTCAATAAAATATGCTTAAGTGTGACAATATCTTTTCCTCTTTGAAGTTCACTGCAGTCACGCTTTATATAATTCGTCAAATATAAAGATTTGTTATAAATAACTGTTTCAATATTGATAGATTAAATCTTGTTTTCAAACTTAAAAATACATATAAATGCTTCCAAAAATAGCTGCGACAGCTATTTATTTGTTTTTTCCTTGAACTTGTTTGGTTATATAATTATAAACTTTATTATATGATACCAACGTAATGTGTGCTTTATATAAATATAACTGTCACAGGACATATTAGAATCCTAAAAACGTTTGCTTATGATTATTCTCGTTGTTAATATCCGTAAATATAGTAGATTTGTCCATATGGGTATAATTGATACACATCAAGTAATAGTATTTTCAGATTATAATATAATGTTTTATAGTCACTCACAGGATAATCGTGCACATCAGTATTAAGACACATGTGGTTATACATTCTAGTAATTCGGTTTACTATCACATTGGAGTAAAGAAGTATTTTTTATAAGACTAGCTCTAGCATAGAACAATGAAACTATTTCATTTAGAAAGAAGAAATATAAAACACGCATATGTATACTTACAACGTTGCAATATTGTTGTTAATAATACATTTTCGAGAGGTAATGAACTTTCCAAGACATACTATATTTGAGTGATAAGCATCTAATCATATATCTTGCAACCAAATTTATTGTAAATGTATCGCTATTAATTTTTCCCTTATTGATAGACTTTCTTTAACACGGTACTAACAACGATTGACTCTAATCATGTAGAGCGTAACTTAGACATATATCAGATTCAACAAATCAAAGTAATGGCAACAATATTATTAATAGAAGATGGTTGTTTGTTTCTATATGTTCGATAATAATATGCTAGTATTTAAATTCTTTGAGGTAGAAAAAATATTGGTATTCATATTAAACAGATGTCAAATGCGAAGGATGAAAATACTAGTCTAGATTCATATATTTCTTGGATCAATTATTAAATATCTCTTTATCTCGATACAATCGTTCTATTTATACAATTTTTTACGGTGTCCTCCGTTGATGTATGTCGAAGTGTTCATAAAAATCAGATAGCAATTATCAAAATGCAGCAATATAGAGAATGATTTTAAGAAATTCTTTTTCGAATAAGAAAATATAAATTTTTTTGTAAAATCCTATGGATGGTATTGAGTGACATCTTTAATATGTATGTAGATAAATTTCAAAGTGTCATTTTACACCAATGATATGAAAATCGGGACAATATATATGATTGTTCTTGTTCGTATTCTTTCATATCATCCCACAAATTTCATATTATGTATGCAATTACTCATAAAATTATATTTTGATTTTGATCTATTGACCGTATACAAATTTCTTCTAAAAAAAACAAAAAAAAGAGCATATAATTAATATTTTTTTAATTTTTTGCTTATACATCGTTCACTTCAACTATATATTAGAAAAATTCCATATACAAGACGTTATCAGTATTGAAATGTATTTTTTGTACGTGCTGTAATCATTTTAAGAAAGTAAATAGAAATGCAGTTAGTTTAATAATCATATTTGATAATAATTCTTGTCAGGTGCATGCATCGTTCAAGTGATTCAATTGACGAGTCAAGTCGTTTAAAACAATTTGCTTGGGAACAATGGGATGATCAAGTAATTGCAGTTATTTTTCGGTATGTAGACAACTATAAACTAAATAAATTTTTTTGAAGTTTTAAAACTATCTCTTATTTCTAGACCGGGCAGTTATGGTCTTGATCGTTATGTAGTCAAACGCTATGCTGAACAAGTTTTATGTCAATCTCAACGATGGAAACAACTTTCATTGTATTTTTCAAGTATTTCACCATCAATTCGT